TGCCAAGGCTCATGCTGCTGTTCATGGGGTCGCAAAGAGCTGGACATGGCTTAGTGACTGAACAACAATAATTGCCAAGGCTAGCCAAAAGAAAAGAAAGCCATCAAATGGAAGTTCTATTGTTCATTTCTAGATGGATTTCCAGTTGCTCATTTTGATTCTTCTATGTAGAGAACTTCGACAGTCTATACTTTAAGTGACATCCAGCCTAGTCTATTTCCCACACTGGCACGCTGTTTTCTAACTTCTTTCTCTTTCTTGCACCATGGGGACTCTCTCTATGGATCTGTCATTTGAATCCCATTGAGAAAAACATCACATACTTGAAATCCCATCAACTTCCCCAAATTGTTCACAACCACAGGAGCCAAAAGGGCTCTCAGCACCATTCCCCTCCTTTTGATTCTGTGTAGCCATATGTTTTGAATGACCATGTATTGTAACAGATCTTAGGCAAAAGAGAGCTGATACAAATACAAGCATTTTGGACCACCTGGCATTCCTTTGAAAATTACTTTTGTCAAAGGAAAGCTTCAGGTTACTCTGAAATTTCACACTCTTAGCTTCTGTTCAGCAAAAGTTTAACTTACTCAGTGGGTCTTGAGTCATTTCCCTCTTGGTTTTCAGAACTCCTGTTTTCCCCACAGAGAATAAGCTGTGATCATCTGTGGTTCCCAAAGGACTCATGCCCTAAAATAGATTCTGCAATTTTTATTACCAAAGCATCTATTTTGCAAATCGAGCATTCTGTATTCTCTCCATACAATGCTTTGCAATACAGCATCTATCAGAAAAACCATTAAACAATACGGGCAGTGCTTATGCAATGTGGTGTAATGTCCCAGCAAGAACTAGTGATTTGTTACACACATTATGCACCCATTGTAATAGATCTTTTGAGATTTCAAATGTGTGGAGGGCAAAAAGTCACCCATATTAGCACTAGACGAGGAATTCTTTGTAATACTAAGCCATTGCCTCATGTCTAGTATAAAATGACTACACAATAAAAGTTTATGAAAGAAATGGTACAACTTGGGTTATAAATGTCTGTGTTTGTAATGGTTTTGATGATTTAAAAATGCTAAAATTTAGAGATTTGAAGGGAGGAGTGTTGGGAGAGGAGAAAATGTTTTCCCTATACTCTTCACATGCCTTCCTGTTTCACTTAGGGCTCTTAGTCACAAGCAACAGAAACTGATTTGCGTTGCTAGGAGCAGAGAAGGCATGAATTGAAAGTGTATTTATCACGTAGTTCGAAGAATAGCTGGGAGGATGAGAAGAGGCTTGAGCAATGGGCAGAACCAAAGATGAGCAAAAGCCTGAGAGAATTCTCTAATGCTGTGTCTTCAAGGTCCTTGGCCAGTGAACGTATCTCACAGCCTGGATTGCATGCCATGTCATAACTTCCAGGGACCTGGGAAGCAAGAGCCTGGCATTTCCCAGCTTCTATGTTGGGAATTGGCTCTGACTCTCTCTATGGCTTATGATATGGGAATTCCCCCAAAGATGAAAAGGGCTTCACAAATTGTGCAGCCAAAAAATATGGAAGAGTCTGCTACATTTCCACCTGGACATATCCCTAGGGTTGGGCATTCTGAATTTCTTCTCTCCTTTGACTTTTTGCCATAGCTGCTTTGACAGTCCTCAACACTTAGTGAACACGACCACTGCCTATCATCGTCCCAGGCAGTTGAAAGCCATGGAGGAAGTAAACACAATTGATCAAAGAGTCTTCTATCTATTCCTAGTAAACCCCCAATTAGTACAATGGTTCATCCCTAACCCCTACCTCACCCCATAGATACTTAATTCTATACATGTATCCAGAGAAATGTGACCCAGGAGATTCTGATGCATATTTCTGATTAAGAATCATGTCTTAGTTTTCCCCATATCCCACAGTATCTTTACAAACCATTTCTATTTTTCTGAAGTCCCACAGTCCCATCTCTCTCAACCAAAGGCACTTCATCAGCTGAGAAAACTAGGCTTCTGATATATGCTCACTCAACTTCTCTCTCCTTCAACTAAAATGTCTTTACCTTTACTCATTCCATCTTTTGTCCTCTTTCATTTTCCCTTCTTTCCAAGGCTAACCTGGCCACCAGGGCTTGTCTGAATGCCCTCTGATCTAATCTGAGACCTAACACTTATCTTCCCTTTTGACTGTGTCTTTGGTCTCACTTCCCTGATACCTAATTCCCTTTGACTCTGAAACATTCAAGTCTCACCTCACCTAACAACCCTCTAACTTGCCTTTGCTCCCCATAGACTGCCTCCAGTTCTCCCCAACACCTTCATCTTCCATATCCAAATACCTCACATGAGTGTTTTGTACTCAAGGACATGCCTTTCCCACCTCTCATTCATTCTCAGCTCTCTGTCACTGCTTACAGGCTCACCCTGTACACACACAGCTCTTTCCACGTCACCCATGGCTTCCTGTCTGCCCAAGGCTCTTCTTAGTCTGCATCATTTTTTTTAAACCTCCCCAAACCATCTGACCCTGTTGAAAAGCCTTTTTTTTCCCATTGTGATTTTTCATAGAAACATCCATCTTGATTTTTTTCCTTCTCATCCTCAGCCTCCTTTGCTAGGCTTTCTCTTCTTGTTTGTTCTGTTTTCTCACTCTGGGCATTCACATTTCCTTAGCTAGAACCACAATGTAGATGACAGCCAGATGCATGTTCCCAATCCTGATTCTTCTATCTTGAGATGCAAAGCTTTCAAACTGGTCGCTTCCAAAGGTGCCTAAGCCCTTTGCTTAGGCATCTCACCTTCCATCATGCCTTTTAAAAATTTATCATAGTAAAATATACATAACATAAAACTGATCATTTAAGAGTATGGTTCAGTGACATTAGATCCATCACATCATTGTGTTCTTCTAATTCCTTTTTAATATCTGTATCACTGGAGGGGAAAGGACCACTTATTCACCACTGAGGCTTGCCTCCCCTTCGTATGACTGGCTGAGCCTGGTGCCTGGTGGTTATGAATGTGGTCTCTGGAGGGTCTGATCTGAGCTGAAATCCCAGCTCCATGACTCTGACTGAGTCCTTCTACCTCTCTGGTCTCACTTCGCTCATCTTGTTATTCTCTGCTCTAGTTGGGTACACAGTCACTCTGCTGAAGTAATAACAGCTTTGTTTATCTGTGAGAAAACACCCTCAAAAGACTTGTCCTCCGGAGCTGGCGCTGGAAGTAAAGAGAAAATGCAGCGTTTGAAGAAAGTGATGGGTCTTAGCCAGAAAGAAGTTCTGGATATACTAGAGAGGGATGTCAAATCTGGTGTTGGCTTGGATTTATGACCCAAACAGCTCCACTGATGAAAAGAAAGGGAAATCAATCAATCAGTTAAACTGTTTCAGTCTTTGGGCAGAGTAGTAATTGCTCTTCAAGTGACAGGTGAAACCTCCCTGAACTTTGAAAAGTTGGTTTAGTAGAAATTGTAAGAATTTCCCAGGATAGAGGTAATTTAGAGAAATTTTATGTGCATACCTTTAAAAATGCCTTAAGTCTTGCTTGGATCAAGCACCTGAATAGGTCACGTTGGTTTCTCCCCCATCCTCCCCCCCTCATGTTTATTTCATTTTATGGAAGAGAGTTTGCTTATGAATGTTGGAAATTCTAGCGGCCTCCTCCTGGATGGTAAGAGGTATTTTGTTTGTTTTTACCTTTTATTTCCGTTTAGACTGGATCTTCTCCATCTCTCGTATCCAGCCCAGGGCCTGGCATAAAGGATGCACTTTAGTACTGTCTCCTGTTTTAGTAAACTGAAAATGGAAGTTACTCAGCTATGTCCAAGTCTTTGGGACCCGGTGGACTATACCGTCCACGGAATTCTCCAGGCCAGAATACTGGAGTGGGTAGCCATTCCCTTCTCCAGGGGTTCTTCCCAATCCAGGGGTCGAACCCAGGTCTCCCGTTTTAGTAAAGAAGAGGTAAAATATTGTAGTGACCAGATCCTACTTTTCCTTTCAGAGACTGAGTATAGAAGTAACAATTCTCCCCCGTGTCAGCCCAGAACATTGCAGGATAATGTTAAGAACAGATTGCCCTTTACAAATCACGTTTATATACTTTATCTCATTCAGCACTTCCCTTTTCAGATGAGGAAACTGAGGTTCAGAGTGGTTAAGTGACTTGCCCAAGGCTTTACAGCTAGTAAATGGTCAAACCTGGCCAGCGGAGCACCTGTAACTACAAAATCTGCACCTACAAACTCGTGGTTGTCTTTCTAACCCACATTTGACCCCACAGAGGGATGGCCTATGTTCAGCTGTACGCTGTCCTTGGCCAACTTGACCGCTGAGGATCCTGCCATCTGAGGCATGTGGGCGAGGCAGCCCTTCCCAGTGGGAAATGTCCCCGTGTCGAGTTCAGGTTTTTGGCACAAGCCAGAAGGCAGGACGTGCTGGGGCCCGGCTTTCTACCTGAGGCTTTGGGGCTGGCTTCTGCAGGTCCCCAGTGAGCACGTGTCCACCTGGGCGCACCAACCCTGCGCCCTAGCGGCTCCCGTGCGCCCCGGGTGCCCACCCGCACGCGCGGTGCCTGGCCGCCCCCGGGGGAGCCCCCACTCCCTGCGGCTACAGCCCGGGTGGCTCCCGCCCGCCTAGAGCCGCCCGGGGGCCGTGGCCGCGGGCCCCCCACACCCCAGGGGCGGAGCGAGGCGCGGAGACGTCAGGGCGGAGAGCGAGCGCGGGACGAGCGCGCCCTCCCGGCGGCTGCCCGCGGCCGGCGGCCGGGAGATGCAGGGAGCGGCAGCGCTGGGGCGCAGCCAGGCGGCGGGCCGGGCGGGGGCCAGACGCTGAGCGGGGCGAGCCAGCCGCGCGCACAGCTCTGCCCGCCACCCCCAGAGCAGATCCCCGGCCGCCCGTAGGCTTTCCCTGGGGTTCCAGGAGCTCCCCCCGGGGTGCCCATCAATTTCCTGGGGTGACTACAGCGTGTGTTTTGTTTTTCTTTCTTCTTTCCCTCGCTGTGTGCCCTTCTCCAGGATGGCAGAGGCGGAATTGCACAAGGAAAGGCTGCAAGCCATAGCAGTAAGTCCACTTTCATTTTATTTTCTTGCTCTATTGTCTGGGACGGGAAAGGACTCCGAGAACTGCGGGGCCGTCGACGTTCCAGCACAGTAGCCACGGGACATGTGTTTTGGGGGATAAAAGTCTGTCAAGGCTCAGCTACGCTGCGTTTTATTTTATAGTCTGTAGATGGAAAGCCCCAGGGCGCGCTTTGGGCTGGGGATTTGAATGTGGAAGATTGGCTTAGAAATAAGATGCTTGCTACTGGGCTTTGGGGAAAGACGAAAGAGAACCATGCGGTGAGAGGGGGGACAATTCCTAGAATGTTACCACCCAGTGCTCACTAATACTTTGACTTCAGATGCTGGAGAAGGCGGGAACGGTCACCAAAAACCGTGACTTCCACGTTCTTTGCGGAAGCTGTTGGTCTGCTAAGTGAAAAACCAGCAGTCCATTCCGCTGCCAGCCACGCGGTAAAACCTCCTCCCTGAAACCGAGAGTATTCATTTTCCCTGTTCTGTTTGAAATTGACAAGGCCCTGGCGCAAAGCCACCACCTTGGGTGAGAGGAGGGTCTGGGGACTTCTTGGAACAACTGGGTCCTGGGAATAATATTCCAAGAGAGCCTTCTTCTTATGTGTGGTTCCTCAACCTAGTTTCAGCATACAAAGGAACAACCAGTTTGATCAAAGTTTATGCGCACTCTCAGAAAAGTGTACCCATGTGCATCTTGAGTTTAAAAGAGAGCTCTCCAAGGCTGCCTAAATTTGAGTGGTCCTGCCCCAGTGTTGCCAATGATCCACAGATGTGGTATTGTTACTACAGCCACCACAGCTGGATTATATATTTCTTTAGCAGATGAAGGAATGATTACTGCTGCTCTATGAAATAATAGCAATTAAAAGAGAAGCTCTGTTAACATATTGGCATAAAAGAATCTCCACACATTCTTCTACCTAAGTAAAAAAAAAAATTCTTTTTTGGTCCAGGAGTTCCCTGGAAACACACATGAATTTGTTGGAGAAACAGCATGTAATGTTTTGGAAGCAAAGTATATTAAAATGTTTTCAAAATCCTTTGGACGAATTCTTCACTGGGAAATTGCGCACAGGCTCTTCTTTTTCTTTTTAAAGATGCATTTGATGTGGTCTCTGTGGCTCTGAGACCCTCTTTATCAAAGTCTTCTAATCTTAAACGTCTTGGAGACTTCACAGCTGAAGCGAGAAAGACGTTTGTTGGCATTGTTGACTGCTATGGCTTTTTTTGTCTGTTGGGCAATCTTTGAACTTGGTGATCAGAACTCAGGAACGCTTCCCCCCCTCCCGCCCCACCATTTTTTCCTTTCCCTCTGAGCGTGTGTATTTTGATGGTTAGTTAAGTTGTTTTCTAGAGTTTGTGGCCAGGCAGTGTGGCCAGTATGTCATGGACTGGGTAAGAATGGAGATATTCAGTTCTCGGTGCCATGTAGCTGGTGGATGTTTTATATAAACTGAATAATAGGCTGCTTTAACTGTCCGTGTAGTGGCTGCTCCAGAGAGCATTCCATTGCTCCCATCAGTGGCCGCTGAAGCTTTCCAACAGTTGTCACATTTTCTGCCTTTGCATGACCAGCTTGTCTGGATGCCTGAGGAACAGCTGGGCCTCATGAAAGGGCTCGCTTTCCGAACAGAGAGCCAGTAGCAGCTCACACTTGGGCCACCCTTTTCCACGTGGGGCTGGGTCATTCCCAGCAGAAGCTAAATGGAGTTTTGAGAAGTATCTAGCCAGCCTTCTGGGATTCTTACGCCCATGCAGTTGTGGAATTGAGTTTGTCCTGTACTTGGGAAACTGTTAATGATTCTCATGAATGATTCTGCCTCAATGAACATATCTTAGTGCAGATTTTCTAACAGCAAATTAACTCTGTGTGGGGCGGGGGGGGAATTGAGAGAGGCGGTGGAGGCTATTCTGTAACCTGGCTTTGACCTAATGCATATGCTCCAAATTTTGCAAACCCCGAGTCTGTCTGCCACCTTCCTAGGGCTCTCAGGGGACCCTAAGGAGCTCATAAGCCTGCTCCCAGAGCCTAGTCCTCCTGAAGTCTCTCTGAATATGTGAAGGAGGAAAAGCATGACTCTCTATCTCTTCACCAATTTGGGCTCCTCTCCAAGAGGAGATTCTCGTCTGTAGGTTCTTAGACACTCTGCAATCTACGCCTTGGTCCCTTCATCTGTAAAGAGGGCTCATGAGTTCTGCTCCAGGGGCTGGCTGTAAGGTTTAGATATGGTGCAGGTGAAGGGCCTGGCATGCAGGGGCCAGCCGATGATCTTCAGCCAGAGACCCTCATTCCTGTCTGTCCTGCTGCCTCGTCCCGTGAGGGCGAGAGGCAACGTCTCTGAAACAGAAAGAGTCTGAACGGCCTTCTGTATCCTCTCCTTTACTCAACTGAAGGCCAGGGCTTGACCCAGCATCAGTTCCACCAGCTGCTCAGACCCAGATACAGTGATATGACTGGAGGATCCAGCCATCCAACAGGTTATTTACAAAGGGTCGCCTCTCGGAAGAAAGTGGCAATGCCAAAAAGTCAGTGTCCCTAAGTGTCAGCCATCAGAGGGAAGACTTTACTCTTTGCACGCTCAAGTTCTGAAAAGGACCGATGTCCTGTGACCTATGTCACATGATCATTGACAGGATTCCCCCTGCCACCTCCAGGGAATGAAATACTCAGAAACTATAGTGCTTTAATTGAATCTTCCAGTTGAGTCCAGAGACTAATCAATGAGAAAAGATGAATCTCATCCTATATCCTGCCAAAAGAGGAGAAAATCTTGACAAGTCTCTCTACTCCCAGGCTCTCATTCCATCAGTAGGGATGTTCCCAAAGCTGTAATTTTAGGAGAAAGCAAAATAATTCTGAGGCAGGATGAATGTGGGTTGTCATTCCAGGGAATAGTAATACAATTGCCATTTATTGACCATCTTCTATTCAGCAAGGCCCTGTGTGTCATGGTTCTTTCCTTAACCTCAAGTTAATGGTTTAACATAAACAATTACTAGCCAGTGGAAGGAGTCCTTATGCAAATAAGCACACAGGTGGAGCAGGTAAACCAAGGAGCTGTAGAACACTTACCCAGAGAGATGTTTGAGCGGGTTTTGGAGATTTGGTATAATAAAATATAAAATAACACAAATACTTCCCCATGAACAGAGGAATTTATTTACTTGTTTGTTGTTAGTTTATCATTTATTTGAAACAGTAGAAGAAAGGGAAAGCCAACCACATGAAGTTAAATCAGTAGCCAAAGGCACAAACTCAGTAATAAGATTCAAGTGCATTTTTAACACAGATGATGTCATTTAATCCTGATGAGCTGATGGGGGAGGAACATCTAGATTATCCATGTTTTAAAGAGCCCAATACAGAGAGTGTCAAAGCCAGGATCAGAACCCAAATTGCAGGGCCCTGTTTATTGACCACTGCCCAGAAATGCACCCCCCAAGATGGTGGCAGCATCTTGAGCTCCTCCCATGAGCTCACTGTGTGGGTGGTTTCAGCAGCCCCTGTGCAGGCGGATGAGGGAGAAGCAGACTGATTCAGTAGCATCAGGAAAGGCTGAGACAAACCAGGAGGCCACATCCTTTTGAGAGTCTTCCAGCGCATGGAAATACCCGGTGGAAGCTCTGACCAAGTGAGTAACCCGTTCCCTCAGGGAAGAACCCACAGTGTCTCAGTACAAACCAGTTTTCAGGGGAGGATGTTGTTATGTCTGCACGTCACAAGAAGAGGCTCTTTCTTGGGCTCAGGTGAAGATAACTGAATGTTTCAGAGATTGTCTTGAGCGAAAACCCTCAGAGAGGTCTCAGGCCTTATGTGCTGAGGTGGCACTAGTGGTCAAGAACCCACCTGCCAACGCAGGAGACGTAAGAGATTCAGGTTCAATCCTTGGTTCAGGAAGATGCCCTGGAGGAGGGCATGGCAACCCACTCCAGTATCCTTGCCTGGAGAATCTCATGGACAGAGGAACATGGCGAGCTATAGTCCATAGGGTCACAAAGAGTCAGACACGACTGAAGCGACTTAGCACACTCACGAGATGCCAATCCAACCTACACTGTCTTTTTAGGGTATTTGGTCGCTTATTAAGAACTCGAACTCTGGAATAATAAAAATGATCTTTGGCATTTGGGTAGCACTTTACAATTTAGAATACCCTGCATGTGTTACCTTAATTCTGAGCTGTGCTAGGCAGGGCTCATTGTCTGCACTTTACAGTAGAGTATTCAGAAGTGTCTGGGCTCACACAGTGACAAGTGGAAGGGTTGTATCTCTCTCTACTGACTCCTGATTCCTAGTATTGGTGGCGTGTCTAGCTTTGGGCAGGGGGGGTGCTCTGCTATGGGTGAGACCTGCCTCTAGGATCCTTCAACTGGGGGTGGGGGACGGAGGAGAGGGGGTGAGCTCTGGGGTATGTGGGCCTGGATGTGCCTCTGTGGAATCTGCCCTTTGGGGATTTCACTTTGGGCCCCTCTCCCTCTTAAAACCCTCCCCCAGGGGATACAGTTAGTGGCCTGTGGCCTCCACCTGCTCCCATGTTCTGTCCTGAGAAGGCCTGGATGTAGGTGGGTGGCTTAGTCTGGCTCTGCCCTGTACTTGCAAAGAGACAAGGCATTTCCTTGACTTCATCTCTCAATGTCATTCTTGCCTGAGCCTCTGAGCAGTTGGAATGTGGACCAAAGGCTCAGGAAACCAGTCAGCCTGCTCTGATCCAGGCCACTTGGGTTGGCCTACCTGGTTTGGGTAGAAATCCTGGCTGCCGTTCACATGTAATCCATCCAGTCCAGCCTAGCTTCCCAGGTCAGGGGTCCCTCAGAGGTTCTAGAGACTCAAATCCAAGACTTAGAGTAACACAAACTGTGGTTCTTGGGGAGACCACCCCTATACATGTCCTCTATGAACCTCTGTCATTGGCAGGCAGCTGGTAAAAGGATGGGAGACTTGAAGATGCCAGCCATTCACTTCTTCATCTTCTTCCACATAAATGG